CTTCAGTGGAGCACTTCATTATCACATCTCAGGCGCGACATTGCACGCGAACAAGCGTAACCTAGTTAGTTGACTCAACCCTTCAGATGGTCAGGTCGTGACAGCGGGTGTCTTACCGTAATAATTCGCCTAGTTTTCTCGTAATCTGGATAAAAATCGTCATGATTCTCAGATTTAGCGCCTTAATTCCATGTGACATTCCATCCGGTGATAAAAGTGACCGTAAGGTTACGAAGCCCTCTCGGCATACAGATATGATCCTTGCAACGATGAGCGTCTACGGGGGGGGGCATGTTTGGAGCGCTACCAGACCAGATTCCCCACCAGTTGTGGCGAGTTCAGTAGAGCCTAGCGGTTGAAAAAGGCGCCGTGGCTGCGCTCCAATATGCACCGCGACGCATTCTCCATCGTTTGCAAAGATCATGTCTGTACACAGCACAGCTGTGGAAAACCAAGTAGTGAAACGCAAACTGTCATGACCCAGTTCATCGCACAGGTTGCCACAGTCAACTGGCAAGTATGGGCAGGTGCGATGCGGCGCTTTGATGTGATGAACTCCACTACTACAGAAGTCGTAGAGCGCATCTTTCAGCGAATATATTGAGGTTTGGCGCAGCGGAATTATATTGAGTGTTGCGAGTTTTGGAGAGACTGGTCATCGCACATTGACGACCACACCTTTCTTGAAAACGAATCCTTCAGTGAATTGAGTGATCAGTCCGGCAGTTCGAAAGTGTTGCTGGGATGCACTCGCTCATACGCAATTGCTCAGTAAATAATAGAAATTTACAGCAGTTGATGCTCGTTGGCGCTCCCGCATCCAAAACGTCACATGACCACTTCGTCCCTATCTGTCCCTCGTCACCGCGTTGTGTCAAAATAGTCCAAAAGGTTGATCTGACGCTGGTAGTCCCTTCAGAGGAGAAATCAAGTTCCACATTTGAAGCACCTCGGAAAGCTCAGTTGTCTTCAATCGAACCCAGTAAACACCTCCGTGAGAGGTGGGCAACTAAGCACTTTCGTCCGTGGTCATAAGCCGTAACGAAAGGTGGGTGGAGACAACAACAACTCCGAGCAGTCGCAAGCCTCTAACTTCCTTGTCACACCCTTCTGAGTGGCGAGATTGGCTGTATTCTACGACTTTAGACCCTAACACATTGAATGGGAAAGGAATTCTTCTCCCAAGCGATCGTTCACTGCGCCCTCACCTCTCTTGATGAAACGAATATCGCGCCAAGAACATCAACATTTAATATCGCGCCAAAGGATTACGCTAACTCACTTGAATGCATGTATACAGAAGGACTCTCAAGTATCTGAGCAACTTGGGTATGATCTTCGTCAGTTCGTTCCCTTGCTTTATCCAATGCCGTCTTTCCATCCTCGTCTCTCAAATCCGGATTTGCACCTCGTTGCAGTAGTACTTTCACTATCTGAATTATATCCACATAGAGGAAAAACCACTGAAGGCATGCTCCACAACTCACATCAGGTCGTCCGAAGGAAGCCGCATAATGTAAGCTACTGCTCTTATGCCCTTTGTTCACATCAGCTCCCTAAAAATCAGAAAATACCGTCAATACTGGTAATAATAAGGCTGTACGACTCAGTCTTACCTTATCGCACAAATACTGTACCATTTCTAGTGATCCAAAAGCTGAAGCCCAATTGCACAATGTCTGTCCCACATCGTCGGTGAAGTTGACATCGACCTGTTTAAACCAATACACGTGAAAACGCCGTAAGAAAGCGTTCATACTTTGCGGCAGCGTATTGAGCGAATAGGAAAGTATAGGTATCGATCAACGTTTTGAGCGTCAGCCAGTGTTTTCAGCGATAATCAATAACTAGGTTTTCTCAGCCGTTCAACATGCAGTTGGACGCTCAAAAACGCTGAAGTTTACTAGTCGCTTAAAACGCTCACAACAAGTATGAACGCGCTCTAGAACTAAGTGTTTAGTTGAAAAAACAAAACAATATCTCATGAAACTTACGACTCCATTGTCTATACGTATCAACAAGGAGCACTGAGATCTTTTCTTGCCGATTGGTTCGTATGAGATGTCGATGCGATCGTTCTGGCACTTTGTCCGTTTGTGGCCATTGAGGTCGCGCTGATTGGTATGGTGGATAGTCTGCATTTGCCAGAGATGGTGCTTTGCCGGCATTAATTCTATAGTGAGTCCAGCCATTGTGGAATAGGAGAGCTGATTCGTTTCGTCACTATCATGCTACACTTAGAATCTGCGATGATCGATACCCGACATCATCGATCATCCTTGTTGGTAAGACACCTGTATGATGCCGAGATCGTGTGACTGAATAGATTGTGAGATTGGACTGGTTTTGTTAAGGTTTGGAATTAATCTCCGCTGATCAATCGCCTGTTCGCATTCGTATGTTTTTCGGAATGTTCTGCGTGAATCAGACTAGTGAGTCGCGGTGCGCCGCGCCGCCAACTCATGCGCCGACCGCCGCCAATTGCGGGGGAAAAAGTCCTGGCGTCGCTGGAGGGGTCGCGGGGTGGGGTCCGCCTCGCGCAGTGGCTTATTGAAAGAATGTGGCGTATACAAGACTTGCGGGAGCTAGCCTATGTACAAGCCAGTGTTCTTTACCTCCCAGACGAACTTGGTACGAATTCACCGGTCCCGGAGGATATAAGGGTTGGTTGGCTTGGGCAGGAGCCGACCCATAAACTGACTCCCATCCTGCGCACGTGGTAAGCGGGCCATTTGACTACGTCACCTCCGCCTCACCCTTTTTGACCGGTGGTGGTGTAATGGCAGGTTGTATAATAACGTGCGCACGCGGTCGGGACGTCAGATCCTGGATTCGGGTCCCGAGCCAAGCTCCTAATCTCCGGGTAAATCGATATCAGAAGTTGGGAGGATGTCTTGCTCATTGGGGGAAGGGGTATTTTGTCTTTGTTCGTGCAAGAAATTTTTTGATAGAAGACTTATCTTTCAGGTATGAGCTATAAAGTTGGGGGGGTATACAGGAATTCGCCGGCGTTGAGAAGATTGCGCGCTGATATGTTCTAGTCTTTGCGGTTTTTCCCTTTTCACATGTCTATACCTAACCCAGCCCCGCTCGAGAGCAAAATCCTGAGGAAAAAAAAACAGAGAACTCCCGGGAAAGTGGTAAAGTGGTAAGAAGTTTGGAAAAACCTAGGAAAATGGTACATAGGATGGCGGAAGAAGGAGGGGGACGTATCAGAGGAGGGAACTGGGGAGTCTTCTTAAAAACTTTTGCCCAACGGCAGGAAGTGCCCTGACCGGAGTTGTCTGGAAGGGTAAGAACTCTGACGTGCACATCGGTTGGCCCACTAGTCATTTTATAGGCCACACTGCATCCCAAAAAGGGACTGATCAATGGCGAAGACTTCATCCTTTATAGGCTTTTTCTGTGAAAACAAAATTAGAAAAAAAGACTAGTTACCTCAACACCTGCTCGGTAACCGCAGCACTCCCTCGACAAAGATTACTAAGTAACGAGAGTACAATGGAGATGAAATTGGCAGAATGGGCAGCAGTTTCACTAGACAGTGTGGTTAGCAGGTGCTCAACCAAATTGCTGTGTGTAGCCAACTCAGCAGGATCGAGCATCTTGCGAATGAAACGGTCTGTGAGAGCCGCAAAACAACGTAAAGCGCTCTCAGAAACCTGAAACAACAGAGATGGTAGTTTGAATCTGCGCTGCCCCGGCTCCTCATTGGAATCTGAATTTAAGAGAACATGAAGAGGCACCAAAAGCTTCGTGCCAAATGAGTCAAAAGATCCAAGGAGGGATCCAAAAGCTTCTGCAAAATTATTTATTTCTTCGGTCAGTTCGGTGCTTCGCACCATCCTTAGCGATTTGGACCCTGGCTCCACTGGCATGAAGTAGCTGTCCCTTACGGAAGCCCCGCCTCGAAGCACTGACTAGTAGTACCAAAGAGTGAGTACTTCGAGGCGGGGTCCCCGTAAGGGTAGCTATTCCACACCAGTGGAGGCAGGGTGCAGACCACTGAGGAACGTGCCAAGCATCGACTGGAGAAAGATAATCTTGCAAGCGTTTGATTCCTTCCTAGATCGTCTTAGAGCCTTTTTGCAATCAGATCTATTGGTGTTTTTCCACGTTTCCACATTCAAAGATGACACGCTCAGGAAATTCAACCAAAATATTGGCGACAATTACCTTATTATCCTCATGTGCAAGCAAAGCTCCAAGACTTTCTGCACATTGCGGAAGGGCAGCATCATTAGGTTCCATTTTACCACATAAACGTGTCACTACAGACATTGCGGAGTGCATTGTGTCCTGAAATTAGGAAAACCGTTTCCTAAATCTGGATAAGAATGCTAATTTTTGCTTTTTATTCTGACGAGCTGTATTATTTCCGATAGTTAGGGGGGATAGTCTGCAGCTTTGCGTAGGCGCTACAGTGCTGCAATATTCAAAAGAGGAGTGAAGCTCTGGGCCCACACCCTCCTCCGCCTTTAAGCCTCTAGTTCAAAATTGGGAGGTTAATAGCGGTGGGCAGTCGCGAGCTACGCGAACTGTGTTGTCCTTCCCGAGCATTTCTACCACTTTTTCCAGAATTTCTGCGAAAATGTTGCTGACTTTTCCGCCAAAAATTTGCTGTGGAGCGGTGGCCGGATTCGTGACATGAAGTACGAATTCCACATCAAAGTCAATGAATCGGAAAACGCGCAGCAAAATTTTCTCATAGGCACATTACGCCCCTCTCCAATAACCAAATACGCGCCCCCTCCCACAGAAAAAAGTACGACTCCCCTGTGTTCTTTACACCAACGATGCTGTAGGCCATGACAGCACATTAATACATGGCTTAATTTCTCCCAGGACAAACCTTATGGACTTGTGAGCCGTGTTGTCGAACCAATGTTAGCATGGCGTGCATACCGCCAGCATCGTAAACAGCAAGGGTTTCACGTTGACAGATATGCTCGAGGAGTTTCACACATTGCTCAGCTGAAAAATACGTCAACATTACGAAAAAAAGAGCAAAAAGACCCAAAAGTTTTTCTAAACGAACCTAAATCTTTACTGGTCCTATCTGTCATTTCGGCAGCAGCAAGCCGACTACATATTGCCCTTAAACTAGCCGCATCCACATTGTATTACTTCTTCGACGTGGCATATCGTTGGAAAACATCAGGTAAGTATGTAATAGCGGCGGAAGCTGTGACCCTGTAATAAAAAAAAAAACATTCGAGCCGATGTGCTGATCAAACGAGGGGAGAGCAAGGTTCACGTCAATCCATGGGCGGTTTCGTCAACGCCCGACAGGGGAGGAACTTATTGTGTATGAAGACTTGACAGGCAGGGCACATCCATGATTGGGGATTTTGGTCGAGTCCGTACGACCCCCTCTTTTTTGAGGTTGGTATGACCCCGCCGTGCCTCCTACCGGTTCCTCTTCTCCTGCCTCTGAGTGAGCCGCCGAGCGGGCGGTGAGGGGGAAGGGGGGGGGGTATATCGACATGCGAACTGGAAAATCACGAAAGTCAACCACTATTTCCACCTCTTCTCTTAGAACGCCAAAAAGTAAATACGCCGCCGCCCCCATTTTTTATTTTATGTTCATGAAGCGAAAAATCGACCTCCAACTATCGTAAATAAGCTTTTTTATCCGCCCACAATCCGACTCCGCCGCCCTCTCCGTTGGGATTACCCACAACGTGGCTCTGTTGACAGGTATACTAAAAGAGTTCGACATGTTTACACTTTAGCTGAATCCTTTCGTAGCCATCAAAGATTTCACAGGTCTCTCCACCTCTATACTGCCGTCTTATGGATGGCGAACAGCCAAGCCAAACCTTCCCCTCCTCCTGCTCGCCGAACTGCAAGCCGACTTTCCGGGAGACTCTCCCTCTATACCTTTCTTTCGCTTCTTTACAACCCAAACAGGCCGGTTCTTATGTTTTTCTAAGGACGTCATGACCCACTACAAAGGAACAGATTGTAATCACTCACGGAACAGAGCATACGCCCAGTGCCAGCCAAATCTGTTCGACTGTACAACGTTCAAAGTACCGAGTATCGACCGCCCGTCAGCTGCTATCACTTTTGTCAAGTACACTATAAACTCCTCGGAACTTGTCGAAATGGCTGCGAACGGGGGAGGGGGGTTGGGGGGGTTATAGGGTCTGAGAGAATAATCGGTACTCTGCCCCGGGTGAGACCAGTGTTTCCGGTAGTACGTATACAGCTACCGCTTAACTTAGAAGCTTGAAGTGCTGGCAGCGATTGGCCGCAAAGAGCTTAAGATATCCCTCCTCTTGCATGCTTATTAGAGCGTCATACAATCTTTTCCGATGCTAGTCCACTTAATTGATGCTGGCACAATTCCGCAAGCGCTTACAGATTATGCCCGGCTCCCCCCAATGCTATTCAGAGGCGCTGACATCTTTTTCGTGATGTGGCTCGTTGGGATGATAATACAAAATTGGTAAAAAGAATGCTGAGCTATGGGCAAAAATCACACCCCAGACGGGACTCGAACTCGCGTCTCCCACTGACAGGGCGACTGCGCTAACTGTTACGCCCCACTCTGTACATACTTTGTTCCTTAGTAAGCTGTACTTCAGCGCCCCAGTAATAGACAGCAGAAATGCATGGCGCACCCAAAAAACGATTGACTCAGCCGCAGCAAAAGTTTTTGCTCGTATGACCAACGCCGCATAAGTGGCGACGACTCCACCGACATTACTGCAGATTCTTCTCTTAATCTGGCAATTATAATCAAGTTCTTCTTTCCGTGGTTCTCTCGTTTCTGCTTGGCTCATCTCTCCCGATACTCAGCCCAAACTCAGCCCAGGGCACATCACTGGGGACTTTAGTAGAGTCTGTAACGACCTTTTTTTTTTGGGGGGGGGGAGTGCACCGACCCTCTCTCCGCCATCCTCCCTCATCGAATCAACCGTCGAAGAGGGGGGGGGTAACTAAAGCACATGTGAAACAGAAGAAGCGGGAGACAATATGGACCTCCATCCCCTTCTACCCAGAAATTACAGATTTTCCCACCAACTTCTGCCACTGTCTTGCCAAAATTTTCCTGGAAAATCCAAAAATTTCGCTCTCGAAGGGGGATATAACAACTGCGCATTTGACACATGAAAATCCAGAATAGTTAACGCATCATCTAGAAGCCAAGAAAGTAAATACGCTCCCCCGCCCCAACAATGAGCGTCTACTGACCCCCGCCGCCACCCTCGCTTTATAATATCCGCGACGAGAAAAATCAACTATCAAAACAAATTTTTCTCGGCCCAAATACGACTCCCCTCTCCTGGCGCGCCAAATACGACCCCCCTGTTGGGGATTCCCCAACAACTATGTGCCCTGCCTTCGCTGCTTTCATGCCATTTCTTCCTCGAATTAGACCCTAACATCGTGTACAAACCTCTAGAACGGCCTCTGTAGCAGTTTCATCCAGAAAAATTTTGCACAGCGCTGGGAGGAACGTTCGCGGAGGACACGATTCAAAGCATCGATCGATATTGTCTGCACTAAGCAGCAAACATGCTTATACTGTCTCGAGGGCCATCATCTAAAATCAGACAGCCTAACTATGAGAATCACGAAGTTTACAGCACTTGTATAAAAATGTTCAAAATTGAGTTCGGTATTGGAAAATCAATATTTCAAATCATTTGAAGTGGATAGGGGTGTTCCTTATGCTCTTTTCACTATGGCAACTATACCAAATCCAAGTCCAGAAAACGCCAAGGCCAAGCAGGTATCGTGATTTAAGTCAAGAAACTTCACCACGTGAAACTTCCAAGTACATCGGTGGAATGGGGACCCTTAGAAGGTGGCTGGAGGGGCACTAAACCTTAATTGCCCACAAAAAAACGCGAAGAGCTCTTGCCTTTTTATCTTAGCTAGACCCAATTAAGGATTTAACGGTGGCAAAGTCACTCTAAGCAACAGATCAGTTACAGTTCAGTTCACATCCCCCCTCCTCACTCCACAAGACGAAAATCTCATGTTTTCAGATTAAATAAGAAGTTCTACCTCATTATTCGGAAACTATTTCGTCTTTTTCAGAACATTTCAATATTATCTTCTAACCGCTGACATTTGTTGTCAAGGCGCTATGCACTTTCTGTCAATGGCATCACTTGATATAATAGTATCGATTTTCCCCGTGGCGAGTCCGGCGCTCAATAACAGACCACCCACGAGCGCACAGTACCAATAAACTTGAAAAAAAACAGAATAAAACCAAACTACTCCTTGGCATTGGCCTCTCTCTCTGTTAGAACCCCTTATATAAGCAGTTTGCAACTGATTATTACTATTACAATGTTGAAATTGTAAAACAATTTAAATAACTAATGAAATTTTCAACTTTTAAAACCCGAGAATGGTTCCAAGTTCCCATGAAATTTTGAGTTCGAAATCGTGATTACAAATGCGGGAACCAAAACTGCTAGCTACATCTTACAAGCGAGTTCCTGGCCGTCAAAATTTTTGGGCGCAGCTCAGCGACGGGGGGGGGCATTTCGCAATTCTGCTGCTTCCCGTTGTCGTGTTCATTGTTTTACAATAGTTTACAGGTATTTCTTTACAACTGTTGACAAGTAGTTCCCACAAATTTTGACTAGTATAATTTCATGGCTTCACAAGATTTTACAAATCTCTACATGGTAACTCGACACCACAATGGGAAGCAGGTATAGTGTAAGATGCCCCCTCGTCGCCGAATTGCGCTAAATTTTGCAATGACCCTATACACCCATGGGACATGAGCAAAATACAGCATCATTTGGCTAGAGTTTTGTCCCTACGAGTGGCTTGAATCCCGAACACGGCTATCATACCCGTTTAGCTCTAGACGCCTGGCGCCTACGCTATGGGATGGGGGAGAGGAGGGGAGGCAGTGGACACGTTCTCAACAAATATGGCGAATTTAACTGCTTATAACTCGCTCTTGAAATTCGAGTAGCAACTTTAGTTTCCACACTGTAACGCTGCGTTTAAACTTCGTGTCAGTTTGAGCGTTTCGAGCTACTAGGAAAGTATAGGTGTCGATCTAGCGCATTGAGCACAAGCCAGCGTTTTCATCGACTGCCCTCGGAAATTCAGAGCTATCCGCGAAAACGCCCTAAACGCTGGCGTACCTCAAAACACTAGATCAATACTATACGTTCCTTGTCATTGAAATGCTGACGCAAAGTATGAACGCAGCCCGAGCGGCATTTCGAATATCATGGAACTTCCATCGCTAAAGTTTTCGGACCTGCTCGATTTTCCCGATTCCGTGGAAATTAGACCCCATACAAATTTTCCACAGATTATTTCGAAAAATGAACCACTCGAAGTCTAGCATAGAATTAAATAAGCGGAACTGAATGAAAAATTATTGAAAAGGCATTTACCTGGAGATCCCTTTCGTCTCCGATACCCGTTTGAAGCCATTCTAGCAGGACGTCCGGATCTATACCATCCATAATGGACGTACCACCACCACTTCAACTATGGGAACCCACACCTATCCGTCCTGTTGAAGCTGCTGAACTCGTTCTTCAACAATCAGCACACAGGAATATAATCACGAAAATACAAAAAGGTGATTCCCCTGAAAATAAACGTTAAGCAGTCGTTGGCCATTTGATAAGACAAATCCATATCGCTTATATCGATTAGCAACACTCGAAAAAAATACACAGGCGAATCAGATAGAAAACGACTGGAAGAATTTAGAGGAGCATAGCCAACACAATTCATCAAGCATTTCCAAGCACTTCCATACAGTTTTCCGCAAAATTGTAAGGAAAAGATATCTAAGTGCTGCGGCTGCTACTGAAGTGGGGCGGGGAGAACATATTCGGGCCATAGCTCCGCCCCCCTAACCAAAGGCTTTACTAGGAAGAGTCCGGCCAACCTGACGTGGAACTTATTAAATGGGGACCGTGAAAGATCGATAGAGTCATGTAAGCCGTGATTTACAAAGACTTAGATAAGCAAACTGCAACCTAGAATTTCACAAGGCAACCTGAGGAGGAGATAAAGTTTCACATGGTGCAGTTAGGCGTGAGAGGCTTGGCAACCATGT